AAGTGTTCACACTGTGAGAAGAGATTCATTCAGTCAGGAACACTGAAAGCACATGAGATGATTCACACTGGAGAGAAACCTTATAAGTGTTCACACTGTGAGAAGAGATTCATTCATTCAGGAATCCTGAAAACACATGAGAGGATCCACACTGGAGAGAAACCATATCACTGCACTGCATGTGGGAAGCGTTTCAATCATTCATCTAATCTACACAGACATACAAAAAAATATCACAGTAAGTAGATCATCTTCAGATCTTTCAGGTCATCACCAAATGTGACACAATAATGCATCAAGCAGTGAAATATCATATGGATAAATCTGTCATTACAAGTGACATGACAAAGAGACATTATCTGAAGTTTTCAGTGAATAAAGTTCATCTTCATCTTCATAACCAGCAGATTCAACTGTGAGATTCAGATCAACTCAAAGATAGAGTTCCTCCCCAAAGATCAATGTCAAAACGTTTTACTCTAGTATGTTATTTTGCTTCATGATATAAATGATATCATTGTGCTTTCTTATGAGTTTGATATTATGTTCAATTGTCTTATAATGCATATGTCACTTGTAGTGTGCTTACTCTTTTATTAAGGAAAGTAGAAGTTTTTACAAACCGTTCTTGTTCAGGAAGCTGAAGAAGAGACTGTAACACTGTAGGATCTATGTCTCACAATGGACCCACCTACATGATGGAGACACACATCAAACCCTCACATTCCATTGAGACAAATCGAAGAACTCCTATCCAACAGATGCAGTCGTAAAACTCATGCAGGGTCAGTGAATGTGAAACATTTCCTGGACTGTTTGGCTATCTCTCAAGATACGCTAAATAAGACCGTACTTTCACAGTGCTTAAAAGCGTTTTACGGGCTTTCAAGGACCAGATAGGGATACCCCTGACCATTTGACGCATAAATTGCTACAATCCGATCAACAAAAGAGACAATTTTATAGCTCCCTGTCCCACAGGAGATTCTCCAGCAGACTCTCAGATCTGACCTGAGAGTGACCGAAGGACCCTTCCCTTTTCCCTCGCATTCCAAAGGAAAGAGACAAGATTTAGTTGACAATCGTTGCTAATCATTGAAAGTATAAAATTATCAGAGCATAGAATCACAAATAGTAGGTTGTATGTTGTATATATATGCTTGACGTGTTTCATGTAATCGGTGCAACTTTAACCAGTGTTTAATTACCCCTTTTTAGGAGATAAGGATATTAAAATGTGTAATATGTGAAGTTTAATCTTGAACGAATGGAAACCACAAATGCAGAATGCTGAAATGAAGTAAACTTTAATAGTATGTACAATGCTTGCTTTTAAGAGACTTTATATGAGTATTAACACAACTTTTATAGATGGTGTCCTCATGTGATGAATTAAAGCCTCTTGTTAATGTATGCACGCTCCGCCCCGCAAGAAGTCGATTGGAAGCCAGCGTCAGGGGACGGACTTATGCCACAGAGCAAAATCCCAATGCAGGACAGACTCCTGGCTTGCTTGCTGCTTCTCCTGCTCTG